ATTTCGTTTCTATTTCAATTGACAGAATAATGCACAAAAGCAAAAAGGTGAGATTTTGAAAGCTGTTTCCGCACAAAAGGCGTTTGAGGAGATACTTAAGGTGCTTATTTTTCATGCTTTCTTGGTAATAATAGTGAAATGAAAGCCCAGATTTGGAGCCTTAAATGGAAACCCTCTATTCTCCTCTCCTCTTAGGTCTTTAGTTAAAGGTTCAAGTACACATTATAAAAAAAATAACCTATGGAGGTTCCATGTCTTTACCAATTTCAAAGGGGAAAAAAAAAAAGAAGAATGAAGAACAATCCTCTCATCATCATTCAGAACATCTGTTTTTAAACTACTATCTAACATATATGCCTGGAATTATGTTTCCATTTTTGCATAATACATTTATTGAAGCGGTAGTTTTCAAGCAAGCTCGTATTGTGAGGGACATGCATAATAATCTCTCCTTTTAACTTGATTCTTTCTATAATAGGTCAAAACTCAAAATCCTAGTCCTATAACCTACAATCCTTGCCAAAGTCCCGTCCCCCAGATCACCTAACAAAGAGCGAATGATTTAATAAATTATAATAAATTCAAACACTTGATTGTATATTTGTGTGTCAGGCAAATCCGGACCTGTTACAAGCAGTTGAAGCTGCCACTGTTGCCAACAAGGCAAGCAGCTCCAAATCGTCCGTACTGAAAGCCAATGACAACAGGGGAGCGTTGGCCGCGGAATTAGCCCGGAAAAAGCTGAATGCAAAGGATCTCTTGAAAACGCCTACCGCAATTAACCAGCTAATCGACTTCATAAACTCAGGGGTGCCTGATTCAAAGAAGGAAAGCGAGGGCAGTGCTTTTGACTCAGGGGTCAAGTCAAAAGTAGACGGGCAGAAGCCTGGTCCAGTGGGGCTGGGGCCCGGGTTGGCTTCTTTGGATGCCAAGAAGCACAAGGTGAAAGGCAAAGGCAGTGTGTCTTCTTGAAGGGATCTCGGGCTGGGGAGTCTGTGTTCTCTGTTTTGTGGTAGGGTTAGAGTATCGTTTTCTTGAGGTCACGAGTGTACTTGTTTGCTGCGCCTTTTGTGGTTTTATATTCTTTTCAATAAATTGTGATCACAAGAATTTTTGGGGAGAAAAAGATTAATTGTGGTGTGCCAACAAAGAGAAGAATCTGTCTGTCTGGTGTGATGTTGGTCTCTTCTTGAATATGAACACACAATAAATGAGGCGTTTGAGTTAATCTTCATGCTTTTTATCTCTTGATGGCTTCAATTATCTAATGGAAAAAGGAAATCCTGTGCTTAGTGCTGGGGATTCCGCTTAAGCTACATTATATCTATACTCTATCTATATCACTTCACATAACGTGTCTCCTATTTTTACATTGAATCAATTTTAATTATTTTCATATAAACTCAAAATATCACTAACAAATAACTATACCTCATGTTGTATAACTAACTCTGGTTAAGCAAAAAAAATGAATTTTGAGTGGATATATTTATATTCAGCATCCTAAGGTCTGATATTTTGTATTTGGGCCAAATTTGCCACCCTAGACTGCTTAGGGTGTGATTGGTTATAAATTTAAACGAAAAAAAAAGAAAACCAATAAAGACTCAGGTTTAATTCAACTTTAATTCAATTTTACTATCTTCAATATTATTAGTATAATTAAATAATATCAACTAATCTTTTTTATATATCACATCAAGTTTAATTCACTATTCATTCACTTACATAATTTTAATTAATTATTACTTTCAATCATTTTTCTTCTACTTTTACATCATATCATTCAATTATTTTATTTTTTTTATGATATTTTAGTTTATACTTAAATTCCCACAAACAACTAACCATACCACTTTTTTTCAAAATTAATTATGGTAAAAAAAATCAATTAAAAACCAATGAAATTCATATCCAATCACACACAAAATTGATTACAATTCTTAAGGAAGAACATTTACTATTGCAAGAATTAATAGATGGCCTGCACCTACACTCGTTTTCTTGTGGAATGGAGGGAGTTTGCATAGATTGATAGGCTCGCAGACTAATGTTAGGCAGGTGTGTTCGGCGAATCATTTATTTATTTAAAAAAAATAAGTGGACAAAAATAAAAAAAAATGTGGAAAAAAATAAAAACGACGTATTTTGACAATACGTTTTCATTTATAAAATGTATTTGAGAAATACGTTTTCTTGTTGTTTAAAATTAAATTGTTGATTTATTTAAGTAATTGAACATTAAAACTTAATTAACTATATTAAATCAAATAACACGTATTTTTATAATACGTTTTAACTGAAGACGTATTTCTTTAGTACGTTTTAAATTTAAAAATAATAATTTAATTTATATTTTATACAAAAAAAATTAAAATAATATGAATCCGTTTTTACAAAATACGTTTTACTTATTTTTCACTAAACACGTATTCCTTCAATACGTTTTTTAAGTTAAACATATTCCTAAAATACGTTTTATAGTTGTCCTAATTTTGCCCTAATTTTTTAATATAAACATGTATTCCTTCAATACGTTTTTTTAAGTTAAACGTATTCCTAGAATACGTTTTATAGTTGCCCTAATTTTGCCCTAATTTTTTAATATAAACCATATTCTAAGAGTACGTTTTACTATTGCCCTAATTTTTCCCCCAATTTTTTTGTATAAACCGTATTTTTGAAATAAGTCTTATGCCAAAAATTGGGGCAAAATTAGGGCAACATGAAAACGTATTTCAAAAAATACGTTTTCATGTTGCCCTAATTTTGCCCCAGTTTTTGCATAAACCGTATTCCTAATATTCGTCTTACATTTACCCTAATTTTGACTAGAAAACGTATCCTTAAAATACGTTTTACTGTTCACAAATATACACCTGCAGCATTCAGGAAAAAAACACGAAAAAACACACCTGTTCATCTCAATCGATTCACAACCCAATATACTTTACAGAAACTAAAAATAAAACACAATATTAATTACAGAAACACATTTGAAAATAATAATTTTACATACATCAAAAAGTTAACAGTTTACACACAATCCACAAAAAAACAAAAAAAAAAACCTTAATGTTTTCAAAAAATACACTAACGAGGAGTGTATCGAGTCGTAGGTTTGCGCTCTCGGACGCCCATCCGACGTTCTGCTGGTTGTGCAATGGGCGTGGCAGCTTCTTCTTCTTCAGCTGCGTAATTCATTTATTTAAAAAAATAAGAAAATACAGTTGACAAAAAATAAATAAATAAAATGAAAAAATAAAATAATATTTTTGTTAAGTAAAAAATTAGCACCTTCCTCCTCAGGCCCGGTGTCGGCAGCGGGTTGTGCAATGGACGTGGCAGCTTCTTCTTCTTCTTCAGCTGCGTAATTCATTTATTTAAAAAAAAATAAGAAAATACAGTTGACAATAAATAAATAAATAAAATGAAAAAATAAAATAATATTTTTGTTAAGTAAAAAATTAGAACCTTGTTCTTCTTCCTCCTCAGGCCCGATGTCGGCAGCGGGTTCGCGCTCACGGCGTCTTCTACCTCCGCCAATGTGGGGAGCGGGTCGATGCCTCACCCGGCGGGACTGCGTCCTTTGGGATCGGACGTAGCTATGTTGAGAGAGAACTTGA